TTCACTCTAATCTCAGCCATGTGGTCCCTCCAGAATCTGAGGGGCTGGGCACTAAGGAATAGGGGTGGCTGCCTTTGTCCACTGAAATCACTTCACTGATAATCACCCCAAGTACTCAGAGCTTCCCTTAATACCTTCTGGTGGGTCTCTCACCTGGAAATTTGGTGGGGCCTCTTTGGAAGGACCAGTTCCCTTTCAGCATGGGCCACTCCTCACAGCGGCAGCTTCCCAGGGTTTTTCTCCCACCCTCTTTTCCTTATTCTTCATTCAGCAAACATTTCTGAGCACCTCCTCTAACCACCAGCTGTGCCAGGCCCAGGGGCAGAGAGACAAGGCAGGTTCAATCCCCGCCCCCAGGGCCTTACAGTAAAGTGAAGGAGGCAGCCCCCTCAGCAGTTCTAGGAGCACAAGGTCAGTTCCCTGATGGAGACAGAATCCCTCAGTGAGAACCAGGACTTCCAAACCTCCTGGCAGCTGCAGCCTCTGCCCAGCCTTCCCTCATCCAGCTTTTCAGTCTTAGGTCTTGCTCTAGGCTCGCAGGGTGACAGGACAGTTTCTGCCCCATCTGGTGCTGCCTTTACTCGTGTTCTCTCATTGCATCCAGCAGAGAGCTTTTGTTGTCAGCAAAGGAAACCACCTTTGGCTAAGTTAAGGAGAACAGGATCTTATCGGAAGGACTTTGCTAGTTCAAGTCTCCCTGGGAAGGCCCAAGCAGCTGTAGGGGTCCACGGCAGTGGGAGCTGTTTTCAGCCCCACTGAGGCCACAGCCAAGAATGAGTGTGCTCAACATTCCAAGGTTACAGGCCAGAGTTGGGTTAGCCCTGTGCGAGTGACATGTGCCCACATGTCAGGGGAGGACAGCACATTAAGATGGCCCACACTGGGGGGAGGGGTAATTCCCCCAAGTACACTGGGTGTCACTTACAAATAAGGGGAAATGACCAGCACAGGGCCTGCTGAAGTTCCTGGAATTGTTTGGCTGAGGTGGGTATTTAGAATCTGTGGTTAAACCGTGCCCTGGGGTCCCTGGCTCCCCAGTCCCTTGGCTTCTATCCTTCTACCCTCATCTGGCACCCAGTTAATGTCTCTGTTCAATAGGGAAACATTTTCTTAACGACAAAAAAATAAATAAGATCATAGGTTAAAAATCTTGAGCAGTAAAACAGCAGATGACGCTGTATGGGCAGCTGCCCAGAGGACACAGAACGCACGTCTCCTGAGTGGGTGGCCTTATAAGGACAGGTTCAGGAGGAGAATGGGCAGGAAGGAGGGCCAGGAGAGGGGAGGCTGAGGTGGGGGTGGGTGCCCCACTGCTGGGCTGGGTATGGAGCCAGCAGGGGGCCTGGCTAGGGCCCAGTTCCACAGGGGGAGTTGGCAGAACACAGCCAAGTCTCATTGGGCCAAAGCCTGCCTGTCCTTCTGCCTTCACAGCCATCATCACCAGCACAGGCACTGACCTGCTGTCAACCAGCCACCCAGTTTAGCCCTGGAAACCCCTGCTCTAGGGCAGAGGTCATTTCCCATTCTTCACCCAGCCTCCCCTGAGGCCCAGCAGGCCTGGCACCCAGTTGGTATGGTATGCAGTAGGGGTTTGTGGGGCAGAGACTTAGTAAAGGAATGGTTCTTTGGTGGTAGTTTTGGCTCATCAACTGGGCTGTAGCACCTGGAACACAGGGTGGTGTCTTCTCAGAGGGACCAGCACAGGGCTGAGTAGGTGCTTAACAAGGGATATAGTGGTTGAGCAGGCCCTGCTCTTGAGTAGAGCTGAGTGATCAATTCTTACCCTGCTCAGGATTACCTTTGTCCCCAGCTTGAAGGCATACATACCCCAGACCTCCTCCAGATGGTGCCTGTGACAGGGTTGCACTCCCTGAGGACTGGGTGTGTGTGCGCAGGCACGCGTGTGTATGAGAGGGAGACAAACAGTGAGTTTCTGGGAGAGTCCTGGTTGTCTAAGCTTTTCTCTGACCCCAGCATGTCTAGGAACAAAGCCCTGGCCCTTAGGAGGGTGAGGAGAGGTGTGTACCAGGAGATCCCCATATGAGAGAGGGGCTCTGGAAACCTCTCCCAACCCTCATTAGGAAAGATTCTTCCCTGAGCTCCCTAAAGCCCCATGTGCTCCTCATGGTGAGTCTCATATAGGGACAGAATGGATGGGTAAGTGAGAAGAGCTGGGAGGGTCATCTCCCCTTGGCCAGCATTTACTCTTCCTAAGACCCATCATTCTGAGGTAAGCATTGCCACTTAAGTCCTCTTTTAAAAGGCAAACAAAGAGTTCCCTGCAGAGGTCAACAAAGGAATTCTTTAATCACCAGATAAGACAGGAGGATAGGACAGCTAGAGGTCAGCTGGGAGTGGGAGCAGTGGAAGGAAGGGGCTGAGAGGGGAGGAGGATCCCAGAAGCGGGAGGAAGCCCCTGACTTCTCCAGTTGATCCTTGGAGAAGCAGCTGTGACCTGAAGGTTTGCCCCCTCCACCATCCTAAGTGGAAAGGTCAGGGCTGAGAGAAGGCTCTGGCAGCCCCTCAGCTGGCGCTGCTCCTGGTGCCAGGAGAATGTTGTCAGCTGCGGAAGGTTGACTCAAGTTGAAGCAAGGGCAGCAGAGGCCCCTATCAGAGATGAGAGAGTTGCAGTGCCAGCTGTGTCTGCTTGAGCCTGCCAGCGAGGGCCCAGCCTTGTCTGAGGCCCTGACGTCTGGGAAGGGGCTGCCCCTTATGGGATTGCCTGAAAGTCCACCATTAGTCATGTGTTATTTTGGGATTGCCCCTCTGTGGTGGGTTGAATAATGGCCCCCCAAAGACGTCCATATCCTAATCCCTAGAATCTGTGACTATGTTACCTTCCATGGTAAAAGGGACTTTGCAGGCGTGAGCCAGTTAAGGATCTTGAGATGGAGATTATCCTGGATTACCCGTATGGGTCCAGTGTAATCACAAGGCTCCTTCTGTGAAGGAGGCAGAGGGTCAGCTAGATAGAGGGCAATGAGCACATCTCCCTGGGAAGGGAATGCATGAAGAACTTGAGATCTCATCCCCCTGCCAGAGTCGGGAGACCTCCTTCAACCTGCTGGCGCTGGGCCTCTGAGGGAATATGGTGGGGACACAGAAGAGAAGACAAAGCATAAGGGGACTAAAGGCAGAGCAAGAACCAAGGTAGAATTTGCTTCATTCTGCATACTTGGGCCAGGCCTTAGTTTGCTGCCTGAAGCCTGGAGTCTACTATCCTTTCCAGGGGTCATCTTGTCTAGACCCTGCCTTCAGGTAGCTTGAGTGTGTCATCTGCTGCTGTTTTAAAGAGCCACCAAGGCAGCCACTTAGTATTTCTATTAGCTGTAGAGATTGCCCTTCTCCAGGTGGCACTTCCAGAATTCTCTGCTCCAATTACCCTCTTAAACCCTGCTGACCAGAGAGGCTGAGTCATGTGGGGGGAGGTCCTCGCTGGTTTTCTGGGTTTGATTATAAATGCTGACTATAACAGTGGTGAGGACAATGCTCAGAGTAAAGGTAGTAGTGATTATGGAATGAGGAAGGGTATAAATATGTGTAAATAAGTAAATAGCTACTAGGTACCATCTCACAAGCTTCCTGAGCACTATCCTGCTCAATCATCACAATGAGAAAGTTTCAGTATCCGTGTTTTAGGGATAAGAAACTGAGGCACAGAGAGGTTATGTGACTTCCAAGAGGTCACACAGCTAGTGATAAGGTTGTAGTTTCAGTACAGATCTGACTTCAAAGTCCATGCCTACAACTTCCACACTATTCTACCTTCTAAAAAATATTTTAAACTAACAATTTGCCCATTGATGTCTCATTTTTAATTAAGCAATAGTTTTCTAGAGCTGGAAAGGTTTGGGGCAGGTGGGAGAAGGATGGGAGTAGTGGCATGGGTGAGGCGCCTGCCAACTGGTCACTTCTAATCAATGGGACATAATAAAGTGGCAGATTGAGGCCAGATCACCTTAATAAGAACACAAATAGCTTTGGACCTAACATTGTTTCTCAGAAATTGAACTTTAATTTTACTGTCTTTTCCAAGTGTAGTTTTATTTTTGGCAACAGACATATAACCAACTTTATGCCATCTTGCTGATTTTCTCAAATAGTTTTGCATTGCCTGCAAGTTATTCAAAGCAACTTTTAAGGCCAAAGAATATTTTTTTTATGTGATTTCAAGTTGGCAGGCATTGAGGTTTAGTGGAAAGTACCGAGGGGCTGGATGGTCCTTGGGAGACCTGGGTTCTAGTTCCAAATTTGTTGGGTATGCCTGCAGAAATCCTCGCTACACATTCAAACAACAGGTGTCTGGGGTTGAAGACCTGAGAAGCGTGGAAGTTTTTGTTTACAGGCCTCAGCTCCAGGTCCAGCCGTGTTTGCAGGGTAGAAGGGGACTGGGAGGTTTTGATTGTGTAGTAATTGCCTCTGGTCTTTGCCCAGGACCAGCTGGGAAGGCAGGGGCACCAGAGTCTTGGTCTCTGACCTCTGCTTGCCCGAGTCATAGGCCGCTGCAGCAACTGGTTGCCTCAATCCTTGGGGGCCTCTAAAGAATAGGCCTGAGGTGACCGGAGACAACTCTGGTCTCAGCCTCCCCACTCCTCAAATGAGGAAAGACTGACAGGACCACACATTGTCAGAGCAGAAGGGGGTCCCAGATCGGCTGCTCCTAACAGTCACATGCACTGGCCATGGGCCCATTACATTGTAAAGAATCTCCAGACAGTCTTACATAAAACAAAACAGATTCCTGGAGGCTGCCAAGCTGGACTTTCTGAATCAGAATATCCAGGGGTGGGGCCTGGAACTCTTTAACAAACTCCCCAGGGATTCTTATGCATAGCAGCCAGGCCTGGAAACTTTTGACCTGGTCAAATCTCTCTACTTTTCCTGGGGAAACTGAGGCCCAAAGAGGCCTTGAGCCAGACATCAACAGAACCAAAGTCATAAATTAGGTCTTTAGATCCTCAGTTAGATGTTCTTTCTGCATAATGACAAGGAGCCTCCAAGACTTTAAAGAATTGCCCATCATTTATTGTTTTAGATTTCTTAAAATCAAAGTTACTAATGCCCACAGTTTAAAGAGTCAGATACAGGTAGTTTTACAAGGCTTGTATGAGAAACATAGATCTTCGCCCACACTCTCCCATCTGCCCCTTCCCAGAGGCAGAGACTTTCAACTCTTCCAGCTGATTCTTCTGGTATTTACTCCTACCCTTGGCATTGTTTGCATTTTTATAGTGAGCTTGCATGTCTCTATTATTCGTATTGGTTTTAATAACACAGGATGGCTTGCCAGGGGTGGCACTGGACTGGGACACCCAGGCATTGCAGAGTACCTAGGGTCACTGGGTACAGGCCACCAGCTCCTCCAGGGCTTGCTCTCGTCGGTTGCCATGGACCAATAGCACCTCCTTGATCCGGTCCTGCTGGAAGCCCATGTCGCTGAACTGCTCCCAGAGGCGCAGGAACTCCCCTGCCTGAGGAAAAGAAGGTAGGAAGGGCGCTGGGGGGTCTACGAGGCACAGACTCAGCCTTGGAGAGCCCCTCCCTGGTGCTCATGGCACCTAGTCCCAGAAAGCTGTGTTGTCCCAGGCCAGGTGGGCCTGAACCTGGGCAGCACCTGCCATTTTCCTGTACCTCTGGGTGACGTGGGCTCCCATCTCCCATCCTCTGCCAGGGAAAGAGGGCTCTGTCCTGGCTTTGCTTCCCGCCCCTCCTGCTCGCTCTCGATGCGCTGGGGCAGGAGGAGGAAGGCTGCACACTGGCACCCAGAGGATGCACAGCTGGGGCCTCTTGCCTGTGCCCGTAGACTGCCACACTGCTGAGGTTTCCACAGTGTAGTGTCTGCCTGCCTGCCTTCTCTCACCCCGGGCCATGCAACTTCCCCACCTCTCCCCCCTCGCTTCTCCCCAGCATCTCTCCCACCTGCTGTCCCTCCCTCAGCCTCTGTGAAGAACTGCTCTGCTAGCTGTGGACAGGTCTTAGAATTTGCTATTGGGCCCACAGCTGCATTCCGGGCAGGCGGCAAACTCCCCAAGTAGAGAATGCAATCATATCTGTACTGCCCATGGCTCCTATCTAGGGGCCTGTCAAAGAGTGGCCATTCAGTAGTATGTGTTGTGTTGATTCAGTTAAATAAGACAAAACCCCTGCTTCTCTCTGCCTCCTGTCTCCCTCTCCACCCCTTCACATTCTCCCTCTGTTCCTCCTGTCTTCGTCCCTGCTCCTTCTCCCTGGGGCTGAGCAGGCAGGCTACCTCCTGCTGGGCCCACTGGCTGGCTCTGGGGACTGGCGCACCCCCTGCACACCAGGCTCATGTGTGCACCCTCACCCCTCCCGTCCTCTGAGGCTTGGGCAGGAGGCCCTGCTGACCTGGCTCTCGGAGAACTGGAACATCTCCATGGCCTCCTCCACCAGGCCCTCCTCGTAGCCCTGCCGCAGCAGCCGGTCACAGGCGCTGAGGTAGCCAAGAAACTGGGCCGGAAGGAGGCAGAGAAGGAGGGATGGTAAGAGGAGTGGTATGGGCAGCAGACGGGGAGGGCAGGCACTCCAAGGACCTCTTTAAGGCTTGATCTCAGGGCCAGGCTGACTGGGCAATGCATCACATGCAAGATGGCCCCAGAGACCCTGGGAGCCACCAGAAGAGGAATAGAGGCCTCCTCTGAGGGCCTGGGGACAGGTGGTCCTCACCAATTATTCTAAGCTGGGGGCTGGAATCCAGTAAAAGAGGTGCCAGGGTGGGCTAGGCTGTTCACACAACCTAAGTGGGGAGGAGAACAGCTTCATTTTTTTTTTTTTTTAAAGATGACTGGTAAGGGAATCTTAACCCTTGACTTGGTGTTGTCAGCACCATGGTCTCCCAAGTGAGATAACCGGCCATCCCTATATAGGGATCCGAACCTGTGGCCTTGGTGTTATCAGCACCACAGTCTCCCAAGTGAGCCACGGGCCAGCCCTAGGAGGACAGCTTCAAACATGGGCATCTCACCCACCACCTGTAGGCAATCCTACACATGCACCACCCACCCCAGCCTGCCCCACCCTCCCTGGTGAGCACCCACTTGTGTGAAGGTGTCTCACTCATCCTCAGCTGTGCACCCCACATCTCTGTCATCCAGGACTCCTTGAAGACCTACTCTGCAGCAGTCCAGCACCGGTGCTGGGAAGGGTAGTTGGGAGGCGACAAGGGAGGATCCTAGAGGGCTGAAACCTGTTCAAGTCTCTCCCTGCTTAAATCGTCAGGATCAAGTGCTGCCTTCTTACCAGGGATTAAAGTCCACAGCCTCCCATAGCCCCCCAGGCCTCTCCTTATGCAGCTTCCTCAGCCAAGGCCAACTTCACTCCCCTTCCCTGGGAGGCCTCTCTGCCCCCTCCATCTTCACTCTGGGCCATCCCTGGTGCTCCCACAGCACCCCCTGCTTCCCCTATTATAGCACATATAACTTCATAATTGCTTCACTTAATCTTTCTCATCCACTAACTTTCTGCTCTTTGAGGGAGGAGTGTGTCAGTTTTGTTCACCACGGTGTCCCCAGCATCCAGCATGGCAAGCAGAAATAAATGTATGCTGTGTTTATAATGAATTAAGAACTACCTTCAAAGAACTCATAGCTTAGTGTGGGAGATAAACCAGATATGGGAAAACATCAGTGCCAGGTGAATCAAAGCAGGATTTATAGGGAGTACTCGCCAAATGAAGGTTCCAGACCATAAGAATTATGTGTATATGTGGAAATGGAAAAGGAACAGGTCCAGTTTCTGCAGACCTTCAGAGCTGGGCAGAAAGCACAGATCATCTAGACGAATGGTTTTCAAACTGTTTCAGCTCCTGAATTGTTTGTCCAAGCACAAGGAGGCTTCAACAATAACATGCTAAGATCAGAACTGCTCTGGGAGAACTGGGGCCAGGGTCATGGGAGCCCAGAGTCCAGGGCTCCTGGCTGGACGTACAGCCCAGAACACCTAGACCTTGCTTTGAGCACATTTTGAAAACCACTCACTCAAGCCTTCCCTTCACAGTTGAGGAAACTGAGATCCATCCAAGCAGAGTAGGTAGCTTGCCTGGGGTCCCAGAACAAGGGCGCAGATCAGCTGACCTCTCAGTTAGTGCCTTGGGGATCAAGGCAGAAGGGGGATCAGCTACTAGAGGAAGGGCTTTGAGCTGCCTTGAAAGTGGACAGGGTTTCTGAAGGTGAAACCTTCACTTTCAGAAAGAGCAAGGACAAGGGCAGATGGTGGAACCTCCCTTCACATTTTGGCTCATCCACAGCAATGGTTCTCAATCTTGGTGCTTATTGCAACCACCCTGGCAACTTAAAAAACTACTGATGCCTGGGCCTCACCCCCGGAGATTCTGATATAATTGGTCTGGGGTGTAGCCTGGGCATTGGGATTATTTTTTATCGCTCTCCAGGTGATTCCTGGTACAGCCAAGGTTAAGAATCACTGAACAGGGATAGGCCTCAATCCATGCCATTGCCAGGCTGCATATCAGAACCATCTGTAGATCTTTTAAAATTATAGGTCCCTGGGCCCACTGCAGATCCACTGACTGGAACCCTTCAGAATAGGGCCTGGGAGTCTGCATTTGTAAAGATTCTGCTACTTGGTCAGCTTTTGGGCCTATGAGACTGTAGAAACTACCAAGCTTGCCTTGGGCCCCAGGGTAATTAAGGATGTCACCTTCAGATCCTAGGATGAGGCCCCCAGAAGTCATTGGTTCCAAACACACATCCCTCCTCCATCCTGTGAGTGGGAAAAGTGAGGCTCTAAGAGGGGTCCTGGTGTGCTTGTAGTCCTATAGCATTCCTGGACCTGGCCTGTGGACGTCCAGAACAAGGACGACATGTGCCACCCGTGCCAGTCCTGCAGGCAGTCAGTGGGCACTTCAAACCTCATGGAAGAAGTCCAGAACAAGGACGACATGTGCCACCCGTGCCAGTCCTGCAGGCAGTCAGTGGGCACTTCAAACCTCATGGAAGAAATGCAGGAGTGCTGGGCAAAGCTTATCTTCTGTGTCTCTTCTTTTTCCCCTGACTCTTCTAAGTGGCCTGTCTCCATCATTGGATGTCCTCCCTTCTGGGCCATCTGTCATTTATATTGGCCCCAAAAAGGATTTACTGTAGAGCATGTCTTGCAATGGGAGA